CTGGTTTTTAAGGAGCATTCTGTCTGCATTTCCTCCATAACAAATTTATTTGTTCTTTTGGAAGTCTATGGTACTTTTACTATTCTTCTGTTTTACAAATAAGGGGCCTTAAAATAATTCATGAAAAAATGGAAGTAAAAGATATTATCTAAATGAGCATTTATTTAGGTAACATTTTGGGCATTCAAGTCTAATAATTTCTCATTCCCAAGACTTACTTATGATGCTAAAGTCTTTCTTTTATTCTAATTAGTTCCTCCTACCCCATTCAATGTTGAGACCATATTAATAAAGGACATATTTAACAGGATAATTTTATTTTGAAATAGGAGAGATGGAAATGCATGCTGTAATAATGTCAGAGTTTCCAGAGGAAGATATTATGAATTTGTTTGTCTAAACACATTTTATTTGGGGTTCAGTATGAATTTTCAATAGATGCTTTTCAGATAAGAAAGCAGGAATTCTAATGCAATTATATAAACAAGATCAGAGGGGAATTATCTTGAAGGGTATAAAATGAACCAAGAGCTTTTAGTCTGGATCATTACAGCTTCAGCTCACCAATGCAAAGTCAGGTAGGTGTCTATCCTGAGAAAGCTTGATGAAGTGAACATTTCTTATTTTAACTTCCTTCATTTTCACCATGCTAACATTTATTCTAAAATGGCATATATTGAGTGGTAATTTGCTTTGATAGACTTTAAATTTTTTTTATTGTTGCTCCAAATTGTTAAGTTGTGGGTGGAAGTAGGTGTGCTACCTACAGAAGGTTAAGATAAAATTTGTTTGACTTTAAGGAAGAACAACTGATCAGTTCCCTAGTGAATGATGATTGATGCATTTGGCTTTCTTCTGTTTATTTTTTTTTTACTTAAGTATTTATATCATTTGAATAATCTATGTAGTAAATCCCCTCAACTAATGGTTAGCTTTGATGGAAATATATTTCTGGGAAAATGAGGTAAATTCCTTTTTAAGCACCTGAAGGATATGGACTCCATATCACAAGGTCTTTTCAGTGACTTAACAGCTAAACCCTTTTGGATAGTGTCCAACACATCCATCTTCCTTGTTGTTGCTCTCTAGAAAATTAAAGTACTTTAGTAAAGTTCTAGGATTGCTCATGTGGTGGCCAATCAATTATTTTCATAGTAGGAAGTTGTAGAGAGAATATGGGTAAAGAAAGTTAATAGAGTAAAGATATATGTATATATTTTAAGAATGAAGATAGCAAGACTTAGGAGGAGAGAAAGAAGGGCAAAAAAGAAAAAAAAAAAAAGAAGGAACATATTTGGAATAAGGAAAAATGGTGAATAAATTATTCATGACAATTTTAGCATGCCACTGATATCTCTTACTATTTAGGGTCTGAAACCATGTTCATGTGCTCAACAAGTTATTCATGACAATTTTAGAAGAGCTAATTAAGTTACCGAGACGAGAACGTAGGATGAAATAAAGGAGAAATTGTGGCATATAGGAAGGTATTAGTTAACACTGACCTTTATGCTGTTTTATATTATTAGTTCTATATAATTAATTATACATACTTCACATGTATTGTTAATTCTTTCCCTGATTTTAGAAAGGGACAGATGCAAAAATTAAGGCTTATAGATATTAAATTTATCAGTCACACATAATTACAAGTAAATCTGGAAGCAGAATTCTGTTATCACTAGTTCTTAGATCAGTGATTTCACACTAATTTTTCACATAGAACCACAGACTATTTGTGCTATAAAGACCTTGGTCATCATCAACTTCTAAGCCTTCAGATTCTAAGCCTTAGCTTTTTAGATAAACAAATTGAGATCTGAAAGATTCTGTGAATGAAGTTTTACTATTTGCAATAAAGAAAAAGGAAAAAGAATTGTTTTTACTTCCTTTACATCCACAATGTTATATAGCTACTGTAGTTGATAATTCAGTGCTTTTAATTTTTATTTCTTTTAGTTTGTGCTGCTGCATTTGTAAGAGGAACTAGGAAAAAGTAGAGAGAGTGTGTCCATAGCGAATATGGCAACAATGGGTTAATGTTCCAAAACAATCTTTTATTCTATAATTTGAGGACTGAGGTGCACTTGACCCAAGCCATAGTATTTTCAATGGTCTTATATATGTGTGAACATTGGGCAATGAATAAGAAAGAATAGAAGAATTGATACATTTGAATTATGATGTTAGTTGAAGAATATTGCAAGTACCATGGACTGCCATAGGAACAAACAAATCTGTGTTGGAAGAAGCACAGCCAGAATGCTCCTTAGAAGCCAGGATTGTGAGTCCTCATCTCTCATACTTTGGACATGTTGTCTTGAGGGACCAGTCCTTAGAGAAGGACACCATCTTGTAAAGTAGATCAGCGAAAAAGAGGAAAACCCCTAAGGAGATGGATCAACACAGTCGCAGCAACAATGGACTCAGACATAATAATTGTGACGGTGGTACAGGACCTAGCAGTGTTCCGTTCTGTTGTGCAGTGTTGCTGTGAGATGGAACTCCCTCTCTGGCACCTAACAACAACAATAGCATCAGTATAATTTTAAAAAGGGTCAGGTAAACTTGTATAGTGTTGAAAAGAGCTTACCAGAAAATCCTTATTTTGCCTTTAATATTGGAAAGTCTTTTTAAAGTGGGCTAATTCACTTCCTGGTCTATGCAGAAGTAAGTGAAGTAAACATAAGGAATCATTGGTAATTGTGGGCCTGGTAGTCATAATTATGGCTTTTTCAGATCATTAGTGTAATCTATATGTTTGTTATTTGTGCTCATACTTATCTCCTCCAACAGATTGTCAGCTCTTGAGGACAAGTACCATATCATCTCCATCCTGTGTGTTTCAGTATCTGGTTCAGATGCTCAGCATGTTTAATTAAACTACAATTCTCATTCTGGAGTAGGAGACAGGTTAAGTGATCACTAGTCATTGGAAGTTGACATTTAAAATAAATTCCTAACAATCTGCTTTAAGGAGTCCTGGTATGGTGCCATAGGATAAGCCCTGGACCTCAAGACCTGTTTGAATCACAAGATCAACGGTTCAAACTCACCATCTGCTCCTTAGAAATGCTATACAGTCGGAACTGACTTGAAGGCACTTAACAACAACCTGCTTTAAAGTGGCTTTCAACTTGTTATAAGTTGAATGAAGATAAAATTCTCATTAAATTAGGCTGTATCTATGAGCTTCCAGTGGATAAAAGTTTTAATGTATCAGCTTAAAAATGCTATTGGAATACGATTGGCAGGCTTGAGAAAATCTTAATACATTTTTGATGATTGACTAAAAATGTTTAGTGAATTGTAATATTTAATAGGACAAATAAATTTGTGTTGATAGATAATAATACAACCCTACTTAGATGTGTATTTTCTATTTTGGAAATGATACTTGAGAAGGAAAAACATCCAAATACACTTAGCTAGCTGTATCATATTTGTAAAACAAAAAATCTTCTTAATCTTTGAGGTGATCAACTTACATCCAGAAGTCTGAAATTTGATTACCCACTCTCAGTTGCAGAACTAAAATAATGATTTGTTATAACATTATTCAACCCATTATAGTGTTCAGTAGATATTGAGCAAGGTCTGTATCAGGCAGACTTTATTGAAATGCATGTTCTGCTTTTCCTCACACACAATGGACCCTCTCTTGTTTTTCATATAGCCCAGACTTACTCATCTGTCATCCAATGTTATACTATTCTCAGTGCATTTGTCTATATTTTTTTTGCCTCCATAATCTTTTTGAGATTGTATGTCCCATATGCCTATTGTGTAAAATGATCTTTAATTTATCCCAGTTTTCCCCCTTATGAAAGGGATGAAAAGGGGGTTTCTAGATTTCTGGGCTAGCCCTATAACATCATTTATCATTTTAAGTGACGTTTTCTGGACTTTCTCCAGCTTTGTGGTGTCTTTCCTAAAAGGCAATGGACAGAATTATGTGAACTATTTCTGGAGAAACTTTGGGATGATACTGAAGTATAACTGGGCTTCTTGGGTTCTTTGTCCTTTGAGATTATGGCCAGTTAGTTGGTCTTTTAGGTTATTAAACCAAAATTATCAGGCAACCATACTTCTGAGAAAGCTCTTTCTGAAGCACAATTTAGCTTATTTCTTATATTCATAGAAGCAGGTGTTAACATATACATGTACTCCACTTTTCTACTGTGGTATTTCCATCTTGCCATTTCACTGCCTAGTAATGCTTAGTGGTCCTTGGATATAGGATTTACACTGTAAGTTTCTACATAATCGGGTATGTGGATCATAGTAGTGGTGTTTATGTGCCGTGGAGTCGGTTCCAACTCAAAGCGACCCTGCATAGAGTTTCTGAGGCTGTATATCTTTACAGGAACAGAAAGCCTCATCTTTCTCCCACGGAACCACTGGTACTTTCGAACTGTTGATTATAAGTTTAGCAGCCCGGATCTTAAGCACTACACTATCATGTTGTTGTGAAGTACCGTTGAGTCGATTCTGGCCCATAGCGACCCTGTATAGAGTTTCCAAGGAGCAGCCGGTGAGCTTGAACCACAGACCTTGTGGTTCAAATGACTTTGCAGTCTGACGCATTATCCCATAGCACCACACCAGGACTCCACATCTAAATTCATAATGAAAGATTATTGTGAGTAGTAAGTATATACAATGACTTGTTGTTAAGTGCCGTGGAGTAGGTTCTGACTCATAAGACCCTGAACGGGGTTTCCGAGGCTGTAAATCTTTACGGGAGCAGAAAGCCTCATCTTTCTCCCGCGGAACCGCTAGTAGTTTCGAACTGCTGGCCTTGAGGTTCACAGCCCGATTCGTAACCACTACGCTACCAGAGCTCCTTATACAATGACTAGCACATAGAAAATATTGAATAAATGGTAGGTATTATTATTACTGCCCATTTTGTGTATTTTAACTCTTTCCAAGCGTTCCTTCTGAATGCCCAGAAGTGATACATTTAACAGGTTCTTTAATTTTATCTTTGATTTAGTATGACTGCTACTTTCCTGCTGTCCATGGTTTTTGGCCTTGTATGTGGGCAAACGATGTCCTTTTGTGTTCCAACTGAGTATACAATGCACGTCGAAAGGAGAGAGTGTGCTTATTGCTTAACTATCAACACGACCATCTGTGCTGGATATTGTATGACACGGGTATGTAGTTCATCTTCCTTCTTTTAGCTATAAGTTAAATAAACCTAGAGTCAATCCAATCCTGTCCAGAGGAAATATGAGATAAATTGTAACCTCATTTCTCAAATCTAATGGTTATTGGCTCCTTAGAACTAGAGTGTACAGATTGCAGTGTTATTTTATATTTTATGTTTCACTTCTCCATATTTATTTAAACTTTACCTTGTTCTCATGATCAAGGATAAAAATGGTCACTTTCATTTTCAGAGTGGGTGTGTTAAGTTGGTACTGGAGAATGGGCCTAAGAATCCATCCCTTAGTCCTATTTGTGGTAGAGCACACTTGAGAGTACATAACAGTGAATTGACTTTTATCTCAGTCTACTCTCTATGTGTTTCCTATTGTTCCATCATAACGTAACTCCCCTTTTCTGTTTTGTTTTTGCTTCAGGATATTAATGGCAAGCTGTTTCTCCCCAAGTATGCGCTGTCCCAGGACGTTTGTACATTTAGAGACTTCGTTTATAGGACTGTAGAAATACCAGGATGCCCACGGGATGTTGCACCCTATTTCTCCTACCCTGTTGCTGTAAGCTGTAAGTGTGGCAAATGTAATACCGACTACAGTGACTGTATACATGAGGCCATCAAGACAAACTACTGTACCAAACCTCAGAAGTCCTATGAGGTGGAATTTTCTGTCTGACTTCAGTAGAGATGTAATTGGATATTTGGATAAATGGAATAAAACTAATAAAATATCAAAATATTTCACAATACCTTATGGACATTTTTAATACTGTTTTGTCTATATACATGCCCATACATGCATTAGATGGCTTACAGAAGAAAAGGTGAGTGCAAGAGACTTTCAGGCTCATATGAAGAACAGCTTCCACATGAGAGGGTAGAGTGGAAGGAGTGTTGTTGTTCTTGTTGTTAGGTGCCACTGAGTCAGTTCTAACTCACAGCAACCCTTTGCACAGTAGAACACATCACTGCTGGGTATGGCACCATCCTCACAATTACTGCTGTGTTTGAGCCTGTTGTCACACCTACTGCATCAGGTCATGTTCTTCAGGGGCTTCCTCTTTTTTGGTGGCCTTTTAATTTATCAAGCAAGATGTCCTTCTGCATGGGACTGGTCCCTCCTTAAACATGGCCACAGCATGTGAGATGAAGTCTCTTCAGCTTTGTTTCTAAGGAACATTCTAGTAGTACATCTACCAAGAAAGATTTAGTCATTCTTCTGGTTGTTGTTGTTAAGTGCCGTCAAGTCGATTCCAACCCATAGTGATCCTGTATGGGTTTCCTAGGAGCAGCTGGTGAGCATGAACCACCGACCTTGCAGTTCAAATGGCTTTGGCTTTGCAGTCTGGCACAGTAACCCATAGTACCACATCAGGACTCCATGGTATTTTCCAAAATTATTTGCCAACATCATAATTCAAAGGCAACAATTCTTCTATAGTCTTCCTTATTCATTGTCTAGATTTTACATGCATATAAGGTGATTGAATATACTATGGCTTGGGTCAAGTGCACTTTAGTCTTCAAACTGACAGTTTTGCTTTCTAACTCTTTAAAGAGGTCTTTTGCAAAAGAATAGAAATGGAGAACAGGGGTATGGCATGCTAATGTAAACCAGCCTTGAGCAGATTCTCCTAACAGAGGGCCAGGAGATTTGCCTTGTCATAGGAAATGAGTAGGGGACTATTAAGAGTTATTAAGTGTCTTGGTGTGGCATTGTAGGACAAGCACTGAACTGTTAACCACAGGGTCAGTGGTTCAAGTCCACTAGCTGCTCCTTGGAAACCTTATAGAATATCTGTGAGTTGGAACCAACTCCATGGTACTTAACAACAGCAAGAGTTATAAAGAAATTGTACCATAATAGGAAGTGAAGGAATATGGCATCAGGGCACTGGAAACACCTATTTCCAAAGCCTGGAAGCAGAGATGGAGTGGAGGTGGGGATGAAGGAATAGTGAAATCTGCAATGGAATACTTTATCTTAGTCATGCAAATGTGATGGATAAACCTCCACCACCAGGAGTAAACAGCATATAAACTATTTAATTTGATTGCTCTGGTGTACCAACTGACCTATGAAAGTTATACCCCAAAAGGTCAATTTACAAAGCCTAGAAAAGAGGACACGATCATTTTACATGTGGAAGTCTAAATCCTTCAAAGTCCTTCAAGTAATAGGAGATACTCTCCAGCATTTAAACCAAAATCAACTTGTGCTGTTTTGACTTTTGATGTTAGAAAAATGATCATGAACAATTTTAGGGACAGGAGAAAGTGCTAAGGGGTTTTAATCAAGTCGTCCTAAATTCTAACCTTCTTCAATATTGGGACACTATTCTCCACAAAATGTGCTTAGCAAGCAGTTGTTTATTTCTCCTTTTCTTCCTTAGATACTCTTTCATGAAAATTTGGTTTCAATAGAGGTGCAAAATAAGGCAGATTTAACCTCAAAAACAGTTTTATGTTTGTCCATTTCTTCTATCCACAGCGCCACCACTGTTTTAGCCCGGGTTTTCTAGAGAAGAAAACTGGTGAAGCATATATATGCATATTTATATAAAGAAAAGCTTATTATCTTACAATTGTAGAGTTCCAGATCCCCAGCAGAAGAGAGAGGGAGAGTTCATTTCCATGTGTCCATTATATTGGGAGCCAGCCACAGCCCCAAAGAAGCATCCCTTCAATTGATTGGCTACTCAAAGATGTTCATCATAGAGTTAACTATGCCTGTATTAGTGTTCATCACCATGGGAATAAGCAAATTCCAACTACTAAACCTCTGGAAATCCTGGCCTAGTCAAGCTGACACAGAAACCTAACCATTACAACCACCAAAATGAATATCACTTTGGTTAGCAGGGCCAGTTAGCCATGGTTGCATTCAGACAGGTATCTTGTAAATATGGGTGTGGGGAAAGTAATGAAGTAATGAAGATAGAAGAATATCAAGCCTATGCTATGCCAATAGGGAGGGAATAATTCTACCTTTATAAACAAAAGAGTCAGGGACCTTCACTTTTTTTTTTAACTTATGATCTAAAGTTCGAGGAACTCTGGTGGCATAGTGGTTAACCAGTTGGCTGCTAACCGAAAGGTTTGCTGGAACCCCCAAGTTGTTCTGTAGGAGAAAGATGTGGCAGTCTGCTGCTATAAAGACTGCAGCTTTGGAAACACTGGAGGGGAGTTCTACTCTACTCTATGGTGTCACGCCTAATTAGTATGGTTTCCAAATAGTGATCTTGGAATTTGGGTTATCTTATCACATGATAGCAGAGACACTTACAGCTGCAGGCTTATAACTTCTCCTCTGAATACTATTTGTCAAATAGATCTTTGATTATTAAGGAAAAAAAGTATAAAGTTCAAACCTAATTGGCACAAGTCATAAATGACCTTCATAGATTCTGAAAAAACCATCTTTCAGGACTTGAATTATGGAACGATGGAGACATTTAAGGAGGTTCCTTATAAACAGTCCATTCAGAAGATGATTTCTAAATGGAATTTCCCAACCGTAAAGAAGGTTAGGTTTAGGCCTGGGTGTGGTGGACCTGTATCTTCATGGACCACAGAGTACTTCAGAGTGGCTGCATTAGAGACACCTTTCTTCCTCCCATTGAAGTTACTCCACTTGTGATATTTGCACATACACATTATATTAGACTAAGGAGTTCTGGTAGCATCATGGTTATGAATCAGGCTGTGAACTGCAAGGTCAGCAGTTCAAAACTACCAGCTGTTCCACAGGAGAAAGATGAGGCTTTCTGCTCCTGTAAAGATTTACAGCCTCAGAAACCCTGTTCAGGGTCACTATGGGTCAGAACCGACTCGACGGCACTTAACAACAACAACAACATTATATTAGACTATTCTTGAAAGAGGAGTCCTGGTGTGGCACTGTAGGACAAGCACTGGATGGCAAGGTCTGTTTGAACCACAGGGTTGGCAGTTCAAACTCACCAGTCACTCCTTGGAAACCCTATACAGAGTCACTATGAGTTGGAACTGATTGGATGGTACTTAGCAACAACAAAAATTCTTGAAAGTGAAGCTGTCCAGGACAACTGATTGTTAGTTACTTGACTGGGGAGAGAGTTTAGGGACTGGAATGACTGACAATTTGCCTCAACTGGATCCAGAAACTTGGAGGTATAGAAATAAAATGCTGTTTTGGAGGGACTTAGTGTTCTTTGGGTTTAAGAGAGGAATGATGAACAGACTGCTTAGAAATGGGAAGGTGAAGAATCATTGTGTGTGTAACAGAAGAAAGGTAGAAACTTTGGAACATCCTCTGAAGTGGTCCTTAATTTAACATGAAGTATAGACTCAGTTCTTGGCAGAGGAAGTTTGAGACTCAGTGCTTTAAATATTTCTCTTGTTTTTCACTTGCCTTTGAAATACAAAGAATTCTTTCATAATTAAATGGATTTGGGATCAGTGCAACATCAATCTATGCTTTCCTAAAGGCCAAACTCTAGGAGTGAGTGAATGTGTGTACCAGGGTGGTTGCATTAGCATATATAATGATGATCTTTGGTAACAGAACTTCGAGTAATGGAAGCTCTTCTTTATAAGAAATTGCTGTTTTTTAAGAGCAGCAAATCTGAGTCTAAATGCATTAAAAATTCTTTTATCAAGCTAACTGCCACTCTCATCCTACTTTGAAATGTTAAGCACCTCCGTATCCCCTCATCTCTCCAGGTTAATCCCTATTTATCCTTTAAGACAACTCTGGTTTCACTTTCTCTCCTTCTGCTACCCTCCCTTTACCTGTTGCTTTTGCTTGTATAGCAACCATTTCTTTTCTTCTGCAAACTGCACCTGATTTTCCTTTGAGATGTCTCCTTACCCCCAAGTACATTGACTGGGATGGATTGGTGGACATTCCACTTAGGCTCAGTGAAGTCTGACTGGTTAAGGGATAGGCATGTGAGCCAATCTCTTCCAGTGGGTGTCTGTCCCAGGGCTTTCATTACAACTATTAGAAAAAGAGGAGAGCTTGCCCTCTGTCGGTTCCTAAATGAATAGAATGTGGACCTGGAACACTGCTTTGGAATCTCCTAGAAACAGCCAGCCTGAGAATCAAGCCCACCTGGAGAACAGCAATAGAGAGTGAGAAGGAGAGGGAGGGCTATTGATAATATTTATATTGAGCCGAATCTGAAATTGCCTTTACTCCTTAAAGAAGTCATAACTTTCCTTTTCTGCTCAAGCTAGTGTTGGGTTTCACTTGCAACTGAAAAGTCATAATTCATCATCTTCTCTACTGATTTCCAAAGATGTTCCTGATTCTATCTCCCCTCTCCTCCAAGATCTTACTTACTATTCTTTCTTGTATGTTCTCTTCTTTCCTCTTAGTAGGTTCTTTATCCTTAATATAAAACAGACTTCAGTTTCTTCCCATTTTAAACCACCATCATCACCACCAAACAATTGTCTATTGTTCCTGCACAACCTTTTAGTTATTTGCTTTCTCCTTGACTTCTTATTCCAGGATATTCTTGAAGCAGCATTGGCTTACTACTGATTCAATATTTAATCTCTGTTTTCCCTGACCTCTTTACTTCCCTAGAGGGCCCAATGGAGGCCCCATGTCTGGATTCACAATGTAACACACCCATGGCACTTTTCATCAGTTGATTACTGGCATCCTAAAAATCCCCACCACTGGAC